GGTCCCTTCCAACCCCTACCATTCTGTGATTCTGTGATTCCTGCAGCTGAGTGCTGGGTGCTGTCAGCTGCTGTGGTTCTCAAACCCAAACGAGCAGCCACATGGACATGGGAACCGGCCGCCAGTCCGGATTATTGATCCAGAGTCGGATGGGTGTGGGCAGGGAGCAGCACAGCCAGTTTCATAGTGTTTGTAGACAGATGTGGTACGGGCTGAAGTGGGGAGCATAGCCTGTGACACGCATCCCACAGCTACAGTGAAAACTGCTGGCCTGATTGATTCCTGTGCGCTGGAGGCAGTAATTTGGCAGCTCTGTAATCCTCGCAGGCAGTCACAAGAGGAAGCCCAGGCCTGCCAGATTGCCCTGGCTCCAGTATGAAAGAAAACATATTTAGCACATCGCACGTAAAGTATTAAAACCTTTTGTCCTTTTGCTCGCACAGAACCTGGTTGCCTCTTACAAGGAGACTCGGAATGGACTGCTGGGAATGGATTACTCAACTAAATTTGCACCATGGTAAGTGAGACTGGACGCTCGTTCTCTGCTCCCGTCCCAAACTGATGTTACCTGTCTGCTGAGTGCTCCGAGGGCAAGGGTAGGGGTCTAGGTGTGATTCCCTTGCCCTTTTTGTTGGGGCAGAGCAGCCTCAGAGCTGCTTGTTTTTGCGCTTCCAGGCAGTGGTTCCCTGGGAACATTCCTTTTAGGAATTGCTGAAGTGTAGCAGTACGGTGTGCAGAGCCCAGTGTGCCGGGAGCAGCGATGAGGGCAGGACGCTGGGCAGACACACCACTTGTCTTTGGCTTTGCCCAGTTATGTGCATCCAGCGGGGCTGAGCGCCGCCCAGGAAGAAGTGCAGCTTCAGGATGTTGATGGGGCTGTAGCAGAACTCGATCCAGTCCTGGTTTGCTGAATTCTGTGGGGCATGTCCCCTCCCTGCCATTCCATCTTTCTGTGGGGTGAAGAGACGCTTCTGATTATTCCTGTTGCAAAAGGATCTCGTTTGGGTAGATATGATGACTCTAATTAGGAGTTTTCGTGTCCGGTTCTGGAAGGGGCAGAGTTAATTCTGGACTGAAACCGCAGCAGCAGAACTCAGTTCAGCCTAATACTGAGAACATCTGGAGTGTTTTCCCGACAGTATTGCGATGTGAAACGATTTTCTGAGGCTGTTAGAGGTCAGGATTTCTTACTTTCAACGGCTTTGTGCTTCAATGGTTGCAGTGGATGGCTCCACCTGGTGGCACTTTGGGGTTCCAGGACCACTGGCACTGCGGAAGTTCTTTATTTGTGGCCTCCATTCGAATTTCTCCAAGGTGGCCATTTGCCCAGAGCAGACAGTCCTGATCTGCCTGCCCCAAACTGTTCCCCTGCCAGATAATGAAAATCAGACCAGTTCAGATTGCAGCCAGTCATTTGCATCTCATGCTGGCCATTTCTAAATGTTAGGTCAACAGTTAAGGAAAAACTCTTCAGGCCCTTTCTTCCTGTTTTCCAAAATTCATTAGAGCATCAAATGTTTCCACGAGCCCTAGTAGGAAATTGCAGTAAAATACATTTCTAGGAAAATCAAGGTAAACGTTCCTTATCGTGCTTTGTGATGGGGTTGGAGCCTACAGGCTCTTCCTGTCTTGCACAGCACTGGTTTGGAACAAAGGGAGGGAGGTCAGTGGGTTGAAATGGCAGAGCTGCGTTCGATGCCCTAGTTCTCCTACCCTGCTGGAGATTTTCGGCAAGTCACTTGCCTTCTGTGGTTCCTCAAATGAGACACTAAGGTGCTGCAGGAAGAGGAGCCGTGGGCGTATGACAGATAGGTTTGTAGCAAACGGAGGGCTGTTGAACAGCTGGGACAGTTGATGTGGAGGTTGACATTTGAGATCCATTCCTGGGTTTGTCGTGGGTGCACCAAGTCACCAGCTGATCGAGTCGTTTAGGCAAAGCTTGTCAAACTTCTGTAAAATGATTTATCTCAGTAGCTTGGAAACTCCCCTAACAGTTACACGCTGGCAAGGGGAGGATTTCGAATCTCAGATTGAAGAGTTGCAAAGAAGCCAAGTCAAGCTGTTGGGGAAGTCAGTGGCAGAACTGCAAACCAAGCAGAAGTTTTCAGACAACAACTCTTAGACACAAAACTATCCCCTCCACTTGACGTCTCTGCAGACAGCACGCTGTCCGGCCTGCATTGCATTCAGGACATCGTTCTTCTGCTTTCAGGCTGGCGCTGGGCTGCATTTCACCTCGATACATCTACGAGCAGATCCAGAAGTATGAAGGGGAGAGAACGGCAAATCAGAGCACATACTGGTATGTCCCTGCACGATCACTGTGGCTTGTGTTCTCTGAAAAGGAAACTGGCATCTCACGTACAGGAGAGAGCGATTTGTTAGCTTTCTTAATTACTGTTTGTTTTTTCCTGTGCGTGCTGTCTGGTTTCTCTGGGTTGCTTTGCAGTTCTGTTCCAGTATGGATTTATTAGTCTGCCTTTGACATCCAGAGGCTTTAGGCACTTTGTAAGTAAAGATTATTAATGCTAGTTGTCATTATTATTGCTGGGAAATTGCAGTTCTTGATGTTTAATAATGATCTCTGTAAATCAACACCATCCCTCTCTGTATTGTTATTGTGGGCTAGGTGAGAGGGAAGAAGAATGATTTAGAAATAAAAGCCAAAGGGTTTCTCACGCCAAGGATGTGAGCAGGGTTTCACCCAAAAGGCTCAGCGACTGTGTGACCTGTAGGAATCACCTGGTGTCAGCAGGACCCCTGGCCCAGGCAGCAAAGGGTCCCATAATTGCTCGGCTCCCTGGTCATGACCACACCACCACGGCAAAGGCGGAGAGGGGACTGGGAAGCGGGATTAATGCATCCCGCCGTGTCACCCGTGCTCCTCCTGTCCCCACCGCTGGCTGCTCGCCTGCCTGCAGGCCGTGCTGAAGGAGTCAGGGGACAGCTGAGGTCAATGTATCCATCCCTGGGGTGGCCTTCAGCTTGCTCACGCACTCTGATCTGCCCGGACACTGTGAATCAGAGCCTGGCAGGGAGCTCTGACGGAGAAGCAGGTTCATGTTAAGAGCCTGGCATAACACTAGACCTGGATGGGAAAAAAACCAAACTAGGAAGTCTCTGCAAACTGTAGAGCTATATTTTCATATTGGTTTGCTACATTTGCAACATGTCAAACAGCGCAGTGGTTGGTGAAGAATAGGCAGAACATTGCCATCAATTCCGACCAAAATGCTCAATATTTCATTAAAATTCAAATGACAGATAAAATATTGACCTTTTCCTGTTGAAGTGTATGCTTTTTTTTTCTTCAATGACAATTAAGAGAGGAAAGATTTCAAGAAATGAACACACTCATGTTTTTCTGTCTAATAGCCAGCCAGCCTGCCTGCAGCCGGGGTGCCATAGTGATCCGAGCATTTTAAAGTGATAAATAATTATAAAAAAGAAGCCTTCAAGCTCCAGGCACTGCAGTCAGTTGTACAGTGAAGTACAGGTTGTGGTGGCTGCACGTGAAGGACTGATCGAAGCTCAGTATCACGATACTGGTTTTTAGCACTTGGACAGTATCCTGTTTCTTAATCAGATTTTCCAGAAAGATCTTGTGAGCCTAAACAGCAGCCAAGCAGAACATTTGCAGTATGCCAGAGCGCTGAAGCAGGTCTCAGAGGCTGAGGTGCCATCATTTTATGAGAAGCTTTTTTTATATAAAAGTTTTAATATAAAACAAAACTCTTATTTTCTGTTGGCCTAGCACCTGACGTCATGAGCTAGACCATTGCAAACCGCTGTGAAAAGTGCCTTTAGCTCCCTTACGAAGGTTATTGCGTAAATCAATGCAAAGCTCTTCGGAATGTGCTGACATGCTTGCTCAGGCGGGAGTGTGAAGCTGGATCAGGTCGTTGCCCTGCTCTTTGGAGAACTGCATCCCAGCAGGGACGAAGGAGAAACAGGTTTCCTGAAATTCTGCTCCTGCGCTGGAGTTAAGGAAAGCTTCCCAAGGGATTCCTGCCAAGTTTGCTTTCACTGTAGTCACCCAGCTGCAAGCTAGACAAGTAGGCTTGGGGCACGAATAGCTATTATGGGAAGGTACGTGAAATTGCTCCTTGTGCATAAACCTCACGGTGCTAATGATGGGTGCTATGAAGCAAAAGCTTAATTTGGTAATTTTATCTGACCCACAGTGAAGTACAGACACGGCTTTGTGTTTTAGGGTCCTGTTTGAACTGCTGTGGCGGGATTACTTTCGATTCGTGGCCCTGAAGTATGGCAAAAGGATTTTCTCATTAAAAGGTGCGTATGGATCACCGGATTTGAAGAGGAAAGGGGCAGTCTTACAACAGGTAAAGCAGGAGAAGCGGCTGTCGGCGTTGTGTGTTGTACAAATGTTCTTCTCGTAGCACTTGTGTCACCACCCCGGGATGTGGCTGGGGACTCACCGTTGGCACAGAAGTGCCTCAACACCACGGTGCTGGGGACACTGTGTAGACACTGAGACTTTTGCCCCAAATCTGATTAGATACAGGGATTAATATTAACACATGTCAGGGGGAAACAGCAGCACAGGAAGAGTAAAGGTGCTGTTTCTGGAAACACTCCACCTTTGGAGAGAATCCAGGCTTCGGGCTTGTCCGACTTCACCAGAGAATCTGGGACGGAGCAGGAATCGACCCAGCAGTGTGAATCCCAAGACGCCAGATACCCTTTCTGCCTTGCGCTACGTAGCAATCAGAGTGACATTCAGCTCCGGACCCTGTCACTCGCGTGCAGGTGTCTGTACATGAAACGGGAGTCTGAATTCTCAGCGCACCAACAGATATCTAGTCCGTGTAGCCAGGAAGCCCCACAGCTGATGCCCGTGTTGGGTGAGCTGTTCTCCATGTGACGTAGCTGCCCACTCTAAGCATACAGCACTGGTTTAGATGCCCTGGGGCGATCTGCCTGGCATCCAGCTGTGGCTGCAGAGGAGCACGTCTCCTTCAGGGCCTGTGCCACATCTGCCAGGCCTGGGTGGCTGTTTCAGATGCCCTACAGCATCTCCGATGGCGCTGGATGCCAGCGATGGGCCTCAGCTTAGATGTCTGGAGCCAGAGCGGAGTCGTCCCTGCTGCCTCCATTCCGCTGTACGGAGGGCTGTAATTGCCACTGGACCCCTGCACACATAAAGTCACCCCCCTCGTCTGTTCATAGAATCATTATGGTTGGAAAAGACCTCCAAGATCAAGTCCAACCATCAACCCATCACCACCATGCCTACCCCGCCGCAAGAGCAAAATGTTACTGGGGGCTTCTGCTAGAGAGTTCTGGGTTCAGGATCTGCTGTAGAAATGGATTTCACATAAACGTTGCCCTGGAGTAAAACTGAAGGAGAAACTACTAGCTTGGACCAGAGCACATCTCCAGCTACCTGTGAAGTCTGAGTATTTCTAACTAAAAAAAAAAAACAAAAAAAACAAAGAGCAAACGCCAACAAAACAAATAATCAAAATCTGTTATGGTTTGAGCGCGTGAGATGCCCCTTTGCAACACTTGAAAGGAGGAAGAGATCATCTCTAAATCTTTCCAGAAGGAACGTGGCTTGTTTGTAATACCACTGAGAGGGCTGGCTTCATCCTGGTGCCTGGTGTCAACCAAGGGGCCTCAGGCTGTCATTGTTTTATTAATAACTGCCTGTGTCAGCATTTGTCTTCATTAGTGGTTGATTTTTTTTTCCTCAATAGGGCTTCAAAGTAAAGAGGTCCCCTGGAAAAAGGACCTTCAGCTCTTTGACTCTTGGAAAGGTCAGTAGAAACCGCCGGTTTGGCTAAGCGTGCTTTAGTTTCCACGTGTCCGCATGCTAACCTGTGCCCAAATGCTAACTCAGATCTATGCAGGGGAATTGTCAGCGTGATCAGGCTCTGTCATTTAAACTGTCACCCCTTGGTTCGGTGCGAGTGCGGGATACTTGGCTTCCCTTCGGAGCCCGAGCGCCCCAGAGGAGCCGGCCCACGGGGTATGGGGAGTGGCCAGGCTCTGTCTGGCTGGTGTGCGCTCTGCGAGATGCGCGGCGGTTAGGTTTGCCTGCCCCGGTGGAAGTTGCCTGCTGCTCCCTCCTGTTCCGTCACACAGAGGCTGACCAGCACCACCAATGCTAGATGGCCAGGCCTGCTACGCTTTGTTCTTCTGATTGGTCTGGGTTAGAAGATTAAAACGGCGTTAGAAGACATCATATCTTGTGTTATGCCACAGCCTTTTAATGTCCTGGCTTTTTAGCTTTTATAACTTTGCTGTCACGTGAATATCAAGCGTAATACCTCACGCTAGAACTTGGAGGGGCTCACAGATTGAAGCAGCGGTGAAATACCCGCCTGTATGTCTTCCTTCGCAGTAACGCCGTGTGTGTCCGTTTGCACACAGGCACAATAAATCCTCCTGCCTGACAGCAGAGACAGCTCTCTGCTTTGCAGTGCTGACCCCTGGGGACTCGCCCAGTACATCCCTCTCTGTGGTTAGTCCCCTGTCGAGAATTTTTCTGTTCTCAGCGCATCTCACTATTGTGTGTATATTTATTTTGCTCTGCAAAATGCCCTGCAGTCCACGTGATTCATTGTTTTTCTAGTTTGAGATTTTCCTGTTCCGTGTTTTTTTTTCTTGCCCAAAATTCTCATTTTCAGTATAATTTCCCGTTTAATTTCCAGTGGATCTGCGTTGCTGCTTGCTAGCTAAACCTCACTGAAATCTCTCCCTGCTGCTGCACACTGGCACTGCCTTACCTGCTCAGATGGCTGTGAGTGCGTGACCACGGGTTCGTTTACGAGTGCCCAACGACGTCGTCATATCCCAGCACCGTCTCTTGTCTCTGCAGAGGGCAAGACGGGCGTTCCTTTTGTCGACGCCAACATGCGGGAGCTGGCTGCGACGGGCTTCATGTCGAACAGAGGGCGGCAGAACGTCGCCAGCTTTCTCACCAAGGACCTGGGTCTGGACTGGCGGATGGGGGCGGAGTGGTTCGAATACCTGCTGGTAAGACTGAGCCCTTTGTGTGCCTGGGGTCGTTCCTGCTCCCTGCCCTGAGCGACAGGCAGGAGCACAGCTCTGCCTAAGAAGGAAGGATACAGAAGACCATCAGTAATTTTCGGGCTGGTACAAATGCGTGTACATACTGCTTCCACGGTGTGTACTTCCCAAAGCCCACGTAAGAAAAGGGAATCCATCAACTGAGGTGTAGCTAGGAAGGTTGCAATGACAGTTTTGACCTTCCATGTAGGGTTTTAGCCAGACATCTGTCACACTTCAGACTTTCAAGCGTAAATTACGTTAACAGTGCTCTGATTTGCTCATCCCAGAGGCTGGGGAGGAGGACAGCCCAGAAATAGAACATAAAAAGAAATGTGTACAGGCCACTGGAGCCACTGTTGGCACAGCGTCTTTGCACTGATCGCTGTGGACAGGGAAGTCATCTGGTGAAGAACAGGCGAGTGTGGACAATAGCTGGGTCAGCTTCCAGAGAGCTCCACCTGTGCTGGTGAGTCGCAGGCCACCCTGCCGGCTGGGGCACCAGTCCCTTCCTCGAATGCCCATCAGCAGTCGTGCGAGCTCAGCTCAGCCGCAAGGTGCCTGCTCCATCCTCGGGCCCCACAGCTGCTTCCCAGGGAGCTCTGAGCAAGCTGGCAGCCCCCGGTTGAGAGGCACGGGCTCTGTGCCCCTGCGCAGCTCGGCGTCTCTGCTCAGGTGCCGTTGTCTCTGGGGTTACTGATGGAGACACCGTCGGCAGCACCAAGCTGAGCGGCAAAAACAGGGTGAGGAGATGATAATCTGCATTTGTTCTTCACCAGACCCAACGGTACACACTGAGAAAGACTAATATCAGCCTCACATTAAAGATCTCGTCCGTAGGATACAGGAGGCTATTAGTAATCAGGAAACTTTCTACTCACTGGGACGGCTGGAAGTACAGAGAAAGCCCAGTCACCTCACCGTTATCTGCAATTAAAAGAGCTTCCTTGGAGCTGGGCCCTGACATGGGTTTGGCTGCGGAGATCTACAGGGAGATGTGGGTGCTCTTCCCATTGCTGGGCTCACGCCAGTGCTGTGAGCAGCGGGGGGCTTGCGGAGCGACACGGGGCAGGGCTCCTGCGGGATCCTCCAGAAAGAGGTGCCGGTAGCTCCGTGCAGCAATGCTGTTCTGGATTGAGAGCCCCCAGCAAATGGCGCCAGAGAACTTGTAGCAGAAAAGCGGTGGCCTTACCCGTCATACCCTGGCTGGAATTTGGGGTGCAAGGTCTTACCTAGAGTGCATTTTTTCTGCGGTGTCAGTGGGTTGTATAAGATAGCTGATACCCCGCGTGCCCCAAGCTTTGTAGCAGTGAAGTGCCAAGCAGGGGCTGCATTTCAGCGTGGACCATCTAAGTCCTGTAGCCTGAGGGCATTGTGTGTGGCACGTGGTGGCCCTCCAGGAGAATGGTGCTGCACAGGCAAATGTGCAGACACGCCTGTGCCTGCCTCTCCTGCAGAGTGAGCCACCAGGACTGTTCTGAATGTTTAGCAGTATCTGCCCATCTGTCAGCAATGGCTTTCAGAGCAGTTACGAAGGTGGCTTCATTTCACAGAGAGGGCAGCTTGCTTCAAGTGCGAGCAAGCCTTGTGCTCAAAGTCACCAGGTGATTAAGAGCTGAGAGTGAGGAATTGAGGCTTTGCTCTGAGGGGCAGGCAGCCTCGCCTTCACAGAATCACAGAATGGTTGGGATTGGAAGGGACCTCTGGGGGTCACCTAGTCCAACCCCCCTGCCGAAGCAGGGTCACCCAGAGCAGGCTGCACAG